AGCCACTACACTCCAGTCTGGGCGACAGAGTGAGACTCCAACTCAAAAAAAAAAAGAAAGTAAACACAATGGATTACTATTTCATTTATTAATATATTCAAAGCGTCTAGAACATGCTCTGGTACAGAGTATGTGATCAAGAATCTTCACTGAATTAATGAAGGAAAGAACATGGCCTCACTCAATGAGAGCAGATTCCTGTAATTCTCCAGCATCACTTCAATTCCTCTGCTGTGAGTTCAGTCTCTTCCATTCTGCCTCCATGAAGATCACAGCCACATCTCTGAATGAAACTACAAACAAGCAGTCCATTAGTGTACATCAAGCTACCCTCAATTTTCCTTGTGTGAGGAGCACAGTTTGGTGGACACACAAAAGTGAACATCATTCTTTTTTTTTTTTTTGAGTTGGAGTCTCACTCTGTCGCCCAGACTGGAGTATAGTGGCAGCTCCCGGCCACCGCAGCCTCGACCTCCTGGGTTCCGGCGATCCTTCCACCTCAGCCTTCCAGGTAGCCGGAATTACAGGCATGCACTACCACGCCCGGCTGATTTTTTTTGATTTATTATAGAGATGAGGTCTCGCTGCCCAGGCGGGTCTCGAACTCGCGGGCTCAGGCAATCCACTCACCTCAGCCTCCCAAAGGTGCGGGATTACAGGCTGAGCCACCGAGCCCGGCGTGAACATCATTCTTGCCAGGCGGGGTGGCTCACACCTATAATCTCAGAACTTGGGAGGTGAAGGTAAGAAGACTGCCTGAGACCAGGGGCTTGAGACCAGCCTGGGCAACTTGGCGAGACCTTATCTCTACAATAAATTTAAAAAATTAGCCAGGCGTGGTGGTGGCACATGCCTGAGGTCCCAGCTATTTGAAAGGCAGAGGCAGGACTGCCTGGGTCAAACAGGTCAAGGCTGCAGTGACTGTGAGCATGCCACTGCACTCTAGCCTGGGTGACAGAGTGAGATTCTGACTTAAAAACCAAAACAAAACAAATAATAATAATAATAATAATTCTTTTCAGAGTACACAATTCTACACATGAGAACTGGGCTTACTATGTGTCTAGCTTAGTGTTTAAGCTTGTGAGGAGCATAAAGGAAGCACGCAATATATTCTAGGCCCTTGAACCCTGGAGAAATAATCTGGGAATCAATTTAATATCCTCAAGCAGTGTTCAGGACAATGACATTGAAAATCCCTAATGAAGGATTTCAGAGGCAGAACAGAGGACAGGCTAGAAAAAGTATCATGGACTTGGGAGTGAGGAAGAGTTAGAGGAGAAAATAGAAGTAAATATTGACTACTTAGAAAAACGGGAGTGAACACATGGGGTCTAGCAAGAGCATTGTTTTTCTTTGTCTTCCCTTTTTAAAATCTAATTTAATTTAATTAATTTATTTTTTGAGTTGGAGTCTCACTCTGTCGCCCAGACTGGAGTGCAGTGGCCGCTCCCGGCCACCACAGCCTCGACCTGCTGGGCTCCTGCGATCCTTCCACCTCAGTCTTCCAAGTAACCGGAACTACAGGCATGCACTACCACACCTGGTTAATTTTTTTTTTTTATTTATTGTAGAGACGAGGTCTTGCCAAGTTGCCCGGGTGGGTCTCGAACCCGTGGGTTCAGGCAATTCACTTACCTCGGCCTTCCAAAGTGCTGGGATTACAGGCTGAGTCACCAAGCCCAGCCTGTCTTCCCTTTATAAAATAAAATTTTTATTTTCAAGTTGTGAAACACACGTGAGGTTTTGCTAAGTAAGTAAATTGCGAGCGGGTGAGGTTTGGGCTTCTAGTGAGCCCTTTCTCCCCCTGGTAAAATTGAGCTACTATAAGATCCAGCAATCCCCTTAGGGGAATATACTCAGAGGAACATAAAGTGCTTTACCAAAACACACCTGCATATGTATGTTCATTCCAGAACCATTCACAGTAGCAAAAACATGGAACCAAACAGATGTCCATTGAAAGAGGCCTGGATAAAGAAAATATGCCACATATACACAATAGAATACTACATAGCCATAAAGAAGATTGTGTCATTTGCAGCAACATGGATGAAGGTGGAGGTCATCATACTAAGTGAACTATCACAGAAACAAAAAACTGAATACCACATATTCTTACTCATAAGCAGGCCCTAAACAGTGGCATGAGTATTTTTTAAAAGTTCAGGTTACTAAATGGGATCTGTAAAATCCCTTTGTTTTGCCAATATTTTTTTTTTTTTTTTGAGTTGGAGTCTCACTCTGTCGCCCTGACTGGAGTGCAGTGGCCGCTCCCGGCCACTGCAGCCTCGACCTGCTGGGCTCCAGTGATCCTTCCGCCTCAGCCTTCCGAGAAGCCGGAATTACAGGCACGTGCTACCACGCCCAGCTGATTTTTTGATTTATTGTAGAGATGAGGTCTCGCT